GATGCACGTGCGACGAAGCTAGTTTTTTCACGAAACATGGTGTCGATGAAACGAGTGTCGACGAAACGATACGGACGCCCGTTGATCACCTCCGATGTTCTTTGAAACCAACGCACACTGTTATTCCGTGATCCTGTGTCAGTTCAGTGCTTGACAATATTGTAAATTATGGAAGATTTATTAACATGTTAATGTATACAGTTTTGTTGAAGCAATGTCCACTACTTAGATACCGCAATATCGCTGCACCAGCCTAAGGAACTCTTGAATGTTGAGCTCTTCATTGGACAGACGCTGCTCGAGCTTCCTGATGGCTTCGTCCTTCATCTCCCACTTCCTTTGTCGCTTTTGGGCTTGGCCGCCGTTGGATACCTGGAGGAGGGTGACTCTGCTAGTGGCCTCGTCCCGCTTGATGTGCTCCACGAAAGTGTAGACATTGGGGTGCGCTTTCCCGATGGTGTTGTTAATTTTTCTGTAAATAAAAAGCACAAGGATTACAACTCCTGGTAAATAAGCATTCCGATTTTTTTATAGCAAATTTATACCATACTGAAAAATGAACTGACCGGTGCCAGGCCTCCTTTAGGTTGTTTGTCCGGGCTCCGCTGTTTTGGTGGTGGTTCCACTGCTGAGTGTCGTAGTTTCCTAAGAGCCAAGTATCCTCGAAGTACAGGATAAGTTGTGGGACTCCAAGGGCTGGTGGTGCAGTTGCCTTCAAACCCCGCCAAGCAATACGTACGAACGCCGGCGGGACAAAGGCCAAACTAATTGTCTGGCGTACAAACATCGTTACCGAAGAATCTTCCTGGTAAGCCTTGGCAAGTCCGAGTTCTTGAACCTTCCTCCAGATTGCTTGAGCGAAGTGAAAATGGCAACCCTGGTGCCGAATTCCAGAAAAAACAAAAAGAAAAGCCTGGATAAGGGCCAGTTCAAAGACCGTACGGACAACGCTGAGTGACAGAGGTGCACGAAGAGCGTCCAACGCCGTCTTGAAGTTCGTGAAGGCCGACACATATACTTCTCGAGACTTCCCAGGTAGAAGAAAGTAGGCGATGTTAAAGCTCAAACCCTCTTTGACGGCGCTTATTGTGACCAGTTGATAAAACAATGAAGGGCAGGAGAAAAACGTGCCATCGATGAACACTTCAACCATTTCCGAAATATGAAAAAGCAGCTCCTGCGTGCAAAAGCAAAGAACACGGCCTGCACTTATGCTGACGTCGAACAGCAGGAAGTCTCGCTTGTCGAGTGTCTCCGTATGTAGTTTTCCAAGGTTAATCTCGGCCATGTCCCTTGGTAGGTTCGGTTGCTGCTTTCTCTTCTCTTTGCACATGGTGCTCCTCACGCTCTCAAAAGTCGGCAGCTCAGCCATCACCGTGTCGTCAAGCTAGAACAAATTGGTCCCGTCACAAACAAGGTTCAATCGCGGACACCATGAACACGCATACGCGTGTAATAAAACATAGTATGTAAAGACGAGACAATTTTTTGCCTACTTGACCCACAAGGCTTAAGATCTCTCTGCTGTACACTTGCGGTGCTGGCAAAGGCGGCTCCGACCTAACCCTTTGCTTCAATGCATTCTTCAGTCGCGCTTCCCGAAGTTGGCTGCTATCAGGTGGATGGTTGTGCTCTGAAACACATCGACGTGATGATAATGAAACGCCGCAGCAGATTTTAGCCTCATTCATTCAGTGCCCTTCAAGCTGAACAGCAATCCGAGAGTTTGCGAAAGTAAAAAAAGAAAGTCATTAGCTCACCTTGTGTTGTCTTGACGGCTTTTCCGTGCTTCGTGAGAACTGCTGCTTTGCAGTTATTTGTCCAGTATTTAGCGCATCTCCAGGCAGTTTTTTCATCTTGGTTCTTCCGCTGAAAGCAATACTTAAATCCGTCTAGTATTAGGCCTCTTTCCCTTTTGCCGTTTTTAAAAATTCGACCTCCATCTCCTGCATCTCAACCTAGTCTGGGAAGCATCCAATGTTGACAGTTCCTTAAATAGAACTCACCTGGTCGAGTTCGAAATTTCTTTGTTCTTGTTGACCCTCGGTATGCACTTTTTCTTTCGTCCGGTAACGAGAATTGGGGGCAGAGGACGGGGGGAACTGATAAGGGGATGGGGGCACGGAGTTTTTGGAACCCGGGGGAAATGAGGTCGGGGGAGATAACGCGGGGAATTCGCTGCGGGGATATCGACACGGGGGAATCGGGATTGGGTTATTTCGTGCACCACCCCGTAGGATGGACAGCACACTATCCACAGGCATATCGATTGACCGAAAGACTCGACAAGACAATCGCTGACATAATTTCTATGTACAGTCGGGAGCAAAAGTTTGCGGGGCACGGAAGCGCGTGCCGAAATGCATCACCGCGCCGTCCGACGGCGCGCCGCCGGATTAAGGAGACGCGCCTTGCGCATGCGCGTCTTTCGTGCTCGCAATCTTGTCTCTTTCGCTCGTTTCTTTTCGACGCACTCCTGATAACAGGAGTCGGCGCCAGGGGCGCGAGTTAGCGCTTCGCCGAGTGCCATGCTGTGCGTCTGCTTCAGCCGCCTCAGCCACCGCGCTTTGTCATGGAGGTCGCGTAGGGGGAAGAGGGGGGGGGGGGGGGGGGGTAATTAGGCGCTGCGTCACCCAGCGCGGCTGCTGAGGCAGCTGAAGACGACGCGAGGCATGACAGACAGCGAAACGGCAACTTGCGCCCCTGGCGCCGACTCCGGTTATCAGGAGTGAGTCGGACAGAAACGAGCAAAAGAGACATGACTGTCAGCATGAAGGGCGCGCATGCGCAAAGCGCGCCTATTTAATGCGGCGGAGCGCCGTTGCACGGCGCGGCGATGCATTTCGGCATGCGCTCCTGTGCCCCGCAAACTTTTGCTCCCGACTGTACCTAGACGTTGAGCACTGAACCCTAGATGAACTAATGCCATTTGTTACGCTTGCGTACAACACGGCGGTTCAAGAAACCACGGGAATGACGCTGTTCAAACTGATACACGGCCGAAGGGCTACCAGGATGTTCGACGCCAGGCTACCTCCCATGCCAACCAACGACGGCAACAACGACGGTCAACTGGTCTCTCAAAGCGCGGAAGAGGCTCGTTAACAGGCAAGAAACAGAATTCAAGACCAATAGCGAGTCGACGCACTCCTGTGTAACCTTGATCGTCGTGACGTACACTTTAAGCCAGTAGACCAAGTATGGATTTGGACATCAATACGGCGCCGCAATCTCACCGAGAAGCTTCTGAACGCTACTTTGGACCCTAAAAGTTTCTCCATCGCCTTGGGCGTTTGAACTACTAAGTGCTGCCCGACAGAATCCTTCATCACGCCGCTCGCCGCAATCCAAGGTAATTTGTGTCGTTCGCCTCAAGCCGTACCACGAAAGATAGGAATGAGAACGTCGGTTTGATTGTTTAGAAAATGCAGTTGTTGTAATTCTTGTTTGTGTCTCGTTTCTCTGTGTTTTCTTTTTTTTTTTTTTTTTTTGCACCAAGACGATTTGGTTTTTTTAAAGAGAGAGAGCAGTGCTACATGCGTCTCCCAGGAAGCGCGTCCGTTGCCGAATGAATATAGTTCTTGGCTCTCCCGCAAAGGACCGAGGTTCGATGCCTGGGAGCGGTCGCAACTTTTTGTTAATATCTGTAAGTGTCGCGCTTTGGCAAATTCGAGAGCCCTATTGGTTCTTCGGGGTCGGAATGTTCTACGTACCGAACGTTCTACGCCGAATGTTCCAGAAGCCCAAGCGTGTACATAAGGGGCTTCACGTGGTGATCTGGAGTCAGTTTTTCGCCTGTGCTCTATCCTGCTGCTACGCCGCTATCGACGCCAGGTGACGCCCAGTTATTTCATCCTTTGTTTGGCACAAGTTCGTCACATTAAACCTTTGATTTTTTTATTTCACCCCTCTCCTGACATGCGAAATCCGTGAAAATATATATCGTCGCGGTTGGATCACCATCATAAAGAAGGCGTTACGTCATGCAATACTAAACGTCTTTCTTATTCTTTCCCCGCACGCACCTCTAATGACTAAAACCACCTACCCTCTCAAGTGGCAGTCATTCACGATTACGATAATACTTCAAACCGCCGTCCGATCTATAATAGACTGATAATTCTATGGGTGTTTTGTCTGGCTACGTAATATTTGGAACAGTCTAATTAGTCATGCGTTTTTCGTTTTATGTTCCGCTTTTCAATATAAATAAATAAAATGAAGAGGAGCTGATGCCGATATGCTTCCAATGCGGAGCGGCGCATCTTCTTTACGGTCGCCCCCTCCCCACAGGTGATAGTAACAGCTTGAAAACGGGTATACGTGAGCTTTAAATACGCTCCGAGGACGCTCAGTCGACATTGTGTTGCGCGGATTGTTTTAACCTTTCTAGACACGAAAAAGCTTTTCCGGCGATCTCCGATAAAGCTTCAGACAACTGGCAACCATGGTTTTAATCACGAATACGGCCGAACTGTCGTTACCCTGAAACATAGCTTATTTAGTGAATAATTAGGGCCAGTCCCAGGAGCGCCAAGCCGTAGCTCCTGACAGCAGCTCGACGTGCTCGTTCAGTTGTTCTCGTGTCGTGTCACTCGTAAGTCATGCGTGCTCTTGCGGTGTTCACTCTGAGATGCATGAACCGCTACGCGGATGGTTCACTGTCACAATGCCGTTGCTACAGAGGGAACGTACAGGTAACCATCAGGACAAAGCAATCGGTATAAAAAAGGAAGAAAAGTGTCGCTGAAACTTTTTTAGTACCAATTTCTTTATTCAGGATTATTTTGCAACATATTTACTAATTCGGTGCCTAATATACTTTTATTCATTGAAGAATAATCTACCAAGAACGTATATTGCATTTTCTAATACCCTATTTGGCCCCTACAAATACCAAGAAATGGTTTCTAGTTCACAAGAAGTCAGTATACCTGAGTGTACTGCGAATAACACTTCCCTATATTCTGTCGCTTCACTCAACATATTGCTATAATGTTCTAAGGTTTAGCAGCAGAAGGCTTAGGAGACGTCTTGTTTGCGTCAATCGGGAGACCTGCCGTAGAATTGGCAGGTCTAGGGTTGTCGTACATAATCACTCGTCCCTCTTCGGGCTCCTTAATAGGGGACATCTTGCGGACGTATTCAATTACCACCTCGTTGTCAACTACTCCTGTAAATGCACAAAAGTTAGTAATGAAATACCTTTGGCATCTTATTCTAGCTTAGCGTCGTCGTAAAAATAGTTAATTTATTTATTTATTTATTTTACTCTCAGGGCACAAAGGCATTACAGAGGGGAGTGGGGAATAAAAGCAATAAGAATACACAAGGAACAATGAACAAAATCTCAAACAACTCAAACAATAGGGAACATGAGGTTGGTAATAGAATTACAAAAAAGAGCGTGGTCAGTCATTGATGTGAGAGATGCAGGTAAGCGGTTCCAATCGTTAGAAGTTCTTGGAATAAAAGAAGCGTAATAAACGTTAGAGTGACAAAATGTTAAAACAAATAAACGTTAGAGTGACAAAAATTAAAACTGGGAAACGTTCTATAGACCATTCCGGAATCGCCCACCGCCTTCCATTGTACTTTCGAAGCACTACGGCATTCCATTATATAGCGCGTGAAGGAGGACCCATGCATAGAGAAAGCGGCTCAGCATTGTTTCGCATTTTGGGATTTCAGAACGAAAAAAGAACAGAGTAATAACAAACCAGGGTGTTTATTTGCTAAATTTTGTGTTCGCTCTTTTTCTTCAACCAACAGTGGCAAGAAGAAAGAATTGAGCCGCCCTAAGGCTTTACGTAGCGTACAAACCGGCCCGAGTGCACATCGGAATAGCCCAACAATAAACACACTGCCCCGCGTAGAACAAGTTGGGGTTGGCGAGAAACGCTGTGGGAATTTCCTGAGAGATATATTCAGTAAACAATTGAAAATCAGAATGATTTTCACAATGAATTATCCATTTCACAAGAAATAAGAAAATCGCTTCATGACCGATTCGAAACACCGTAGACTTGACATGCCTTTGTAATTTCAATTGTAGACTTTTTTAAATTCAACGTATATTGATAATAACTTTATCAGTTCAGTTTGAAAGCACTGGTTTTGCAAATGGTACATCTTTTTAATTTCTTAATTTTTAGGAGACATTGGTGTTTTTGTTTTTGTTCCCTACTGAGGAAGGACTCCTGTTGAATGGATGACTAAATGAATTATGCCAATACTCGTAGAAAGTTCGGTGCTTGATGTTTGAGCGGTGGACGGAATAAAACAAAACTATTACCGATTTCATATGGTTGTGATATCGTTTCGATCATACCAAGGTGCAAGGGTAATTCATATTTTTTATGATTGATGGGTGCACTCAATCAAAAAAGTATGTGTTCAGAAGGTGCAAGAGAAATGAAACAACCTGCACTCTTCCCAGCCCTCTCAGTTACTTAATTTTGAGTTTAGCCGGAAACTCTAAAAATAAGACGAGATGTTTACTTACCTTCTGTTTCCTTTTTTACGGTGCTATCGAATGTAAATCCGTCTCCACCATTCGCAACGTAACTTGTGGTGACAATGCGGTATGTTTCGTTCAGCATTACAGGCTCATACTTTGGTATCTTACATTTGGAACACAAAATATCAAGTTTAATTACTCTGCAACCTTTTTCGAGCGAGAAATTAAAAGCCACACGTATTCCTGCAGAAGAAAACACGAACGAAAATGTATTAGAGGTAAAGCCGGTGAAGTACGATCCGCGTGCGATCTGGAACCATCAACTCGTGTGTTTTTTAGAATAACAAAAAAAAATCGAATTTAGAGGTCATACGTTCTATGCTAGCTAAGGGTATTTGGCAAACCCCACAGGAGGCCTGATGAATAATAAGAATGCCTGCCAATTTTCGGTGTGCTACCGAAATCTCATCTGCAGATCAAGCGCGCCTTCTTCCGCAATAAGCCTGCATCAAATTGCGGGAACCTCGGTCATTCTCTAGAATATATACTACTGCTTCAACAAACCTCACTAAAGTTCAAGTTCACTCCTGCTGCTCGTGAGACCAAATACTGCTATTTCAATCTCTTTTTAATATTGTATGTTGTTTTGTTTAAGCTATAAAATACGCTTAAAGAAATGCTCTATCGTTCTTTCACTATTCCAAGTCTCGTTCGAAGTGTTCTCAGTTTTGCCTGTTAAAACTAAAGATTGAAAACACTTTGATTGGCTAAAAGCATGCCTTGAAAGCGATAGAATTATCAGTAAAAAAACTAAGTCAATAAACAGCAATAATTAGTGATTACGGCAAAACTAGGGCGTAGCGCTTTTGTCGTTCGTTTATGAAATAGATCGACGCATGCGTCTTCCGGATTTTTCTTGAGATAACTATCAGCAACACTATATAACTTAAGTTTTGGGGCTTGTAGTAGTGTGCTATAAATTTTGTACTTGTCACTATACTTTGATAAAGTTTGTGAATCTTTAGGCATTCGCCTTTTTAACAGTTTAGCGCCCTTTCTGAATCTGTGTATTGTGAAAAGCTGCACGGGGGGAAACAACTTTGACATATGTCGCAATTATTGACTACACTATACCATTTCTTGCCAAAACAGGCTTTGTGGTATATAAGATTTCAATAAGTTATACTACAGTTTATAGCACGACACGTCCTAGCATCTTAATTAAACGCATCGCGTTCAACCGCCAATTCTACGTCGTGCTTGTGTTAGTTCCATATAATTTGTTTTACCATGTTAATGTCTCAACGAATTTGCGATCGTTGGAGTATCACTGCGTTATCTTCGGATGTTTGACTAGGTTAATTAAGGTTAATTCACGAAAATAATGCGATTAGTATGATATGCTGCAGCATACACTTCTTCAGTATTTTTCTCCTCTGTTACAGACCTTAAACTCGGATCTCTGTTTACAACGTCAGTGCTTTCCGAGTACCGATCGCGAGGGCTTCGTGCCAGATTCAAAATCCCGGGTTTGGTGAAATCGCTTCGCCGGCGTCAAGCTGACCGAATCCTGCCCGGTACCTATGCTCCGATTGAGATTTCACCTCAAAGTATGCCATGATTTTTTGATATCTGAAGGCGGCTTCAGTAAGTTTCGTGCCACAGTTTAAAGTCGAGGTACGAAATGCTTAGAGCTTAGGAGCATACCTTTCAAGCTACATTAAACTGCTCATATGTTAATTCGTTGCAGAAAATAAAACAAATCTCACCTCCTTTCTTTTCGCTAAGGTGATGACCTGTGATAGAACAAATTGGTGCGGCCCGCAAAGTGCCCAGCCAAGTTTAGACAAGATCTCCCCGTACACACAACGTTGCCTACCCAGAGTATGAACCCATCAGTAATGCAAGTGCTAAGTTCCTAGGCGCCGTCGTCGGTGCATAAGGTTGAAGATTGTGGCGCCCTTGCTAAAAATGTCTGTAGTGGGGACAGTAACGCGTACAAGTTCGTCTGTAATTTAAACACTGTATATTTGCTTACCTTCAAAATGCATTTATAAGTTCTTGTATCATTTTGGTCAAGTGATTACGGCACTTGTTTCATTATTAGATGAACTAATAACGTGCAAATGTACACTAAGGAATCTTGTGCACACTCAAAGTGTCCGCGGAGGAAAACTTCGTTTAATTGTTTTTTCGTAAGAAAACTAGAAATCGCCGTTCTTCAATCTATATGTAGCCCTAGCGGATCGAACCAGATGGCAAAGTTTCGGAGCTTGCTGGTTTTGGGTTCAAAAGTTCTAAAAGATAAAAAAAAAAATTGGCGGCGATTTTTTTTTTTTAAAGTTCTATAGAGCATAAATTGCACTATTTAAGGCGCGATCATTTAATATAATTTAGAAGACATCAAATCCTTGTTCGGGGAGTGAGTCATGTTTATTTTTATTAATTTCTACGCTACACTGAGCGGAATAACTGGGTGCATTGGTCACATGGTGTCAATTTCCCTTCTAAGTTTGAGAGAGGAACTGAAATTGTGTGTAGGCTACGTGAGGCTAATTTTCCAGCTAGATTTAGTAGAGAAATTTTGTTGATGCACGGTACTCACTAAACTTGAACGGAACACAAAAATCGTGTCTTTTCTCATGGGAGCGCTATCTTGACGGCAGCCAGATAACGGTTTTGTGACGTTACTAAAAAAAACAACAACAACAACAACAACACGTAGCGCTATGTCAAAAAGCCGTTGTCCAGCTTTATCTGGGATAGCGCAGCCATGAGAAAAGACAGTTCGCGTGTTCAGTTTAAGTTTGGAGAGCACTGTACCTGCCACGTGTAGTCGGGTTACTCAATTTTTCTACGAAATTCAACGGGAAAACTGAAGGTGTTTAGCACACGTGACATCAATTTTTTCTGTCCAATTTAGCGGAGAAACTAAAATTGGTGTACAAAGTATAGGTCACGTGACATCAGATCACGTGACGTCAATGGTTTCGCTAAATATAGCGAGAAAACTAAATTGGTGTATCGGTCTCGTTACGACAAGGCACGTGAAATCAAATTTCCCGCAAAATTTAGTGGAGGAAGAGAATTGGTGTATACGTCACGTGGCGTCAGATCACGTGACGTCAATGGTTTCGCTAAATAAAGCGAGAAAACTAAATTGGTGTATCCGTGTCGTTACGACAAGGCACGTGAAATCAAATTTCCCGCAAAATTTAGTGGAGGAAGAGAATTGGTGTATACGTCACGTGGCGTCAGATCGCGTGACGTCAATGGTTTCGCTAAATATAGCGAGAAAACTAAATTTGTGTATCGGTCTCGTTACTACAAGGCACGTGAAATCAAATTTCCCGCAAAATTTAGTGGAGGAAGAGAATTGGTGTATACGTCACGTGTCAGATCACGTGACGTCAATGGTTTCGCTAAATATAGCGAGAAAACTAAATTGGTGTATCGGTCTCGTTACGACAAGGCACGTGAAATCAAATTTCCCGCAAAATTTAGTGGAGGAAGAGAATTGGAGTATACGTCACGTGCGTCAGATCACGTGACGTCAATGGTTTTGCTAAATATAGCGGGAAAACAAAATTGGTGTATCGGTCTCGTTACGACAAGGCACGTGAAATCGAATTTCCCGCAAAATTTAGTGGAGGAAGAGAATTGGAGTATACGTCACGTGGCGTCAGATCACGTGACCTCAATGGTTTTGCTAAATATAGCGGGAAAACAAAATTGGTGTATCGGTCTCGTTACGACAAGGCACGTGAAATCAAAGTTCCCGCAAAATTTAGTGGAGGACGAGAATTGGTGTATCCGTCACGTGCGTCAGATCACGTTACGTCAATGGTTTTGCTAAATATAGCGGGAAAAGAAAATTGGTGTATCGGTCTCGTTACGACAAGGCACGTGAAATCGAATTTCCCGCAAAATTTAGTGGAGGAAGAGAATTGGTGTATACGTCACGTGGCGTCAGATCACGTGACGTCAATGGTTTTGCTAAATATAGCGGGAAAACAAAATTGGTGTATCGGTCTCGTTACGACAAGGCACGTGAAATCAAAGTTCCCGCAAAATTTAGTGGAGGACGAGAATTGGTGTATCCGTCACGTGCGTCAGATCACGTTACGTCAATGGTTTTGCTAAATATAGCAGGAAAAGAAAATTGGTGTATCGGTCTCGTTACGACAAGGCACGTGAAATCGAATTTCCCGCAAAATTTAGTGGAGGAAGAGAATTGGTGTATACGTCACGTGGCGTCAGATCACGTGACGTCAATGGTTTTGCTAAATATAGCGGGAAAACAAAATTGGTGTATCGGTCTCGTTACGACAAGGCACGTGAAATCAAATTTCCCGCAAAATTTAGTAGAGGACGAGAATTGGTGTATCCGTCACGTGCGTCAGATCACGTTACGTCAATGGTTTTGCTAAATATAGCGGGAAAACTAAATTGGTGTATCGGTCTCGTTACGACAAGGCACGTGAAATCAAATTTCCCGCAAAATTTAGTAGAGGACGAGAATTGGTGTATCCGTCACGTGCGTCAGATCACGTTACGTCAATGGTTTTGCTAAATATAGCGGGAAAACTAAATTGGTGTATCGGTCTCGTTACGACAAGGCACGTGAAATCAAATTTCCCGCAAAATTTAGTAGAGGACGAGAATTGGTGTATCCGTCACGTGCGTCAGATCACGTTACGTCAATGGTTTTGCTAAATATAGCGAGAAAACTAAATTGGTGTATCGGTCTCGTTACGACAAGGCACGTGAAATCAAATTTCCCGCAAAATTTAGTAGAGGACGAGAATTGGTGTATCCGTCACGTGCGTCAGATCACGTTACGTCAATGGTTTTGCTAAATATAGCGGGAAAACTAAATTGGTGTATCGGTCTCGTTACGACAAGGCACGTGAAATCAAATTTCCCGCAAAATTTAGTGGAGGAAGAGAATTGGTGTATACGTCACGTGGCGTCAGATCACGTGACGTCAATGGTTTTGCTAAATATAGCGAGAAAACAAAATTGGTGTATCGGTCTCGTTACGACAAGGCACGTGAAATCGAATTTCCCGCAAAATTTAGTGGAGGAAGAGAATTGGTGTATACGTCACGTGGCGTCAGCTCACGTGACGTCAATGGTTTCGCTAAATATAGCGGGAAAACTAAATTGGTGTACCGGTCTCGTTACGACAAGGCACGTGAAATCAAATTTCCCGCAAAATTTAGTGGAGGACGAGAATAGGTGTATACGTCACGTGGCATCAGATCACGTGACGTCAATGGTTTCGCTAAATATAGCGGGAAAACTAAATTGGTGTATCGGTCTCGTTACGACAAGGCACGTGAAATCGAATTTCCCGCAAAATTTAGTAGAGGACGAGAATAGGTGTATACGTCACGTGGCATCAGATCACGTGACGTCAATGGTTTTGCTAAATATAGCGGGAAAACAAAATTGGTGTATCGGTCTCGTTACGACAAGGCACGTGAAATCAAATTTCCCGCAAAATTTAGTAGAGGACGAGAATTGGTGTATCCGTCACGTGCGTCAGATCACGTTACGTCAATGGTTTTGCTAAATATAGCGGGAAAACTAAATTGGTGTATCGGTCTCGTTACGACAAGGCACGTGAAATCAAATTTCCCGCAAAATTTAGTAGAGGACGAGAATTGGTGTATCCGTCACGTGCGTCAGATCACGTTACGTCAATGGTTTTGCTAAATATAGCGGGAAAACTAAATTGCTGTATCGGTCTCGTTACGACAAGGCACGTGAAATCAAATTTCCCGCAAAATTTAGTAGAGGACGAGAATTGGTGTATCCGTCACGTGCGTCAGATCACGTTACGTCAATGGTTTTGCTAAATATAGCGGGAAAACTAAATTGGTGTATCGGTCTCGTTACGACAAGGCACGTGAAATCAAATTTCCCGCAAAATTTAGTGGAGGACGAGAATAGGTGTATACGTCACGTGGCATCAGATCACGTGACGTCAATGGTTTCGCTAAATATAGCGGGAAAACTAAATTGGTGTATCGGTCTCGTTACGACAAGGCACGTGAAATCGAATTTCCCGCAAAATTTAGTGGAGGACGAGAATAGGTGTATACGTCACGTGGCATCAGATCACGTGACGTCAATGGTTTTGCTAAATATAGCGGGAAAACAAAATTGGTGTATCGGTCTCGTTACGACAAGGCACGTGAAATCAAATTTCCCGCAAAATTTAGTAGAGGACGAGAATTGGTGTATCCGTCACGTGCGTCAGATCACGTTACGTCAATGGTTTTGCTAAATATAGCGGGAAAACTAAATTGGTGTATCGGTCTCGTTACGACAAGGCACGTGAAATCAAATTTCCCGCAAAATTTAGTGGAGGACGAGAATAGGTGTATACGTCACGTGGCATCAGATCACGTGACGTCAATGGTTTCGCTAAATATAGCGGGAAAACTAAATTGGTGTATCGGTCTCGTTACGACAAGGCACGTGAAATCGAATTTCCCGCAAAATTTAGTGGAGGACGAGAATAGGTGTATACGTCACGTGGCATCAGATCACGTGACGTCAATGGTTTTGCTAAATATAGCGGGAAAACAAAATTGGTGTATCGGTCTCGTTACGACAAGGCACGTGAAATCAAATTTCCCGCAAAATTTAGTAGAGGACGAGAATTGGTGTATCCGTCACGTGCGTCAGATCACGTTACGTCAATGGTTTTGCTAAATATAGCGGGAAAACTAAATTGGTGTATCGGTCTCGTTACGACAAGGCACGTGAAATCAAATTTCCCGCAAAATTTAGTAGAGGACGAGAATTGGTGTATCCGTCACGTGCGTCAGATCACGTTACGTCAATGGTTTTGCTAAATATAGCGGGAAAACTAAATTGGTGTGTCGGTCTCGTTACGACAAGGCACGTGAAATCAAATTTCCCGCAAAATTTAGTAGAGGACGAGAATTGGTGTATCCGTCACGTGCGTCAGATCACGTTACGTCAATGGTTTTGCTAAATATAGCGGGAAAACTAAATTGGTGTATCGGTCTCGTTACGACAAGGCACGTGAAATCAAATTTCCCGCAAAATTTAGTAGAGGACGAGAATTGGTGTATCCGTCACGTGCGTCAGATCACGTTACGTCAATGGTTTTGCTAAATATAGCGGGAAAACTAAATTGGTGTATCGGTCTCGTTACGACAAGGCACGTGAAATCAAATTTCCCGCAAAATTTAGTGGAGGACGAGAATAGGTGTATACGTCACGTGGCGTCAGATCACGTGACGTCAATGGTTTTGCTAAATATAGCGAGAAAACAAAATTGGTGTATCGGTCTCGTTACGACAAGGCACGTGAAATCGAATTTCCCGCAAAATTTAGTGGAGGAAGAGAATTGGTGTATACGTCACGTGGCGTCAGATCACGTGACGTCAATGGTTTTGCTAAATATAGCGAGAAAACAAAATTGGTGTATCGGTCTCGTTACGACAAGGCACGTGAAATCGAATTTCCCGCAAAATTTAGTGGAGGAAGAGAATTGGAGTATACGTCACGTGGCGTCAGCTCACGTGACGTCAATGGTTTCGCTAAATATAGCGGGAAAACTAAATTGGTGTACCGGTCTCGTTACGACAAGGCACGTGAAATCAAATTTCCCGCAAAATTTAGTGGAGGACGAGAATAGGTGTATACGTCACGTGGCATCAGATCACGTGACGTCAATGGTTTCGCTAAATATAGCGGGAAAACTAAATTGGTGTATCGGTCTCGTTACGACAAGGCACGTGAAATCAAATTTCCCGCAATATTTAGTGGAGGAAGAGAATTGGTGTATACGTCACGTGGCATCAGCTCACGTGACGTCAATGGTTTCGCTAAATATAGCGGGAAAACTCAATTGCTGTATCGGTCTCGTTACGACAAGGCACGTGAAATCAAATTTCCCGCAAAATTTAGTGGAGGAAGAGAATTGGTGTATACGTCACGTGGCGTCAGATCACGTGACGTCAATGGTTTCGCTAAATATAGCGGGAAAACTAATTTGGTGTATCGGTCTCGTTACGACAAGGCACGTGAAATCAAATTTCCCGCAAATTTAGGGGAGGAAGAGAATTGGTGTATCCGTCACGTGCGTCAGATCACGTTACGTGAATTTACTCGATAAATATAGCGGGGAAACCAAAGCTATGTCACGCGTAAATCTGCCGTGACATGAATTTTTCTGCCGGTTTCGGCAGGAAAACTTAATTCGTGTATAGATCACGTGACGTCCGATCACGTGACATCAATTGACGACCGTTTTCCCTTTAAGTTAAGCGGAAAAAGCACGGACGGACGGACGGAGAGACAGACGCACACTATGTCGGGGTTGCAAGGTTCCGTAAGAAAATATTTCAGGCTTTAAAACGTTCAAGGACGGAATTGCGACCGACCAAGCCCAAGAGCGCATTAAAATGAATGGTGTTGGCTACCGGAACCTGGCCCTATTTTTTGTATTTAATGTTTCTGACAATCGCTTCTAGCCTTTGAACCAGGCTTCTGCAAGCACTGAAGCGTTTGGCATCTAGTCCGACCTGATGACTTTAGGTTTGAAAGAAGACTGAGCATTCGGTGATGCGTAGCTTATTTTGGGGGTCAAAAAAGACACATACAACGGCCTGCACTGTCGCGCAAGCTTCACACCTATCTGCGGAAAGAACTCGGAAAGATGACGAAAATTAAATGCATTTATACCTAAAGAAAATGAATAAATAGCAGTCGACGTTGTGATGCTGAGCATACGTCATCCGCAATGTCATACCGCAAACCGATTTTTCATTTTATTTCTAGGTTTAACCATACTTTTAGTTTTGCCTATCGCCCAGCATCCTGCGTAGATTCCCACGAATGGCTCTTTAATGATCTTTACGGGACAGCCGACCCACCTGATTTCGCATAGTTTAGTCAATAACTCGCGAATTGCACTTTTATCATTAGTGCTTGTCCGTGCTTTTATGTGTTCGAGGCTTCGAGAGCGCTTTGGTTTAGGCTGAAACAAACTAGCATGAAACAAAATCTTTGGAAAACAGGCAATATTTAACGTGATCTTCCTTGGTGGTGCGTGAATAGAAGAGGTTATACCTGACACCTGAAGAAACGCCCCTTCAGGGTCCCCGAACCAGGTGAACTTTGAGGCGCCGTGCTCAAACATGTTCGTTAATTGAAGTCCGGTCATGGTGAGTACGTACAGGGTGCTTTCGTAGGGCATCATGGACATCATGTTTTCCCTCAGAATGACACCTGTATGAAATACATGAATATATAAGAAATGACAAAATTTACGCTATTTGTTATTCGTCCTCGCCTAAATATATATATATATATATATATATATATATATATATATACATATTCAGTTTTATAAAGAGTTATATCATGCGACGCAACAACAGCAAAAGGATGGATAAAGCATTCTTTTAGGGTGGTTTTAATTTTTGCATTTTTCAAGAAATATAGACACGGCGGTTTCTGTTATCATTAATTTAACGGCACACTCTTTATTTATACCGCGGAATCACGTCTCATAAAGTAACTAATTTCTGATTTTGTTAATATGTATAATATACACGCGAATTACGACGTTGCAAGAGAGGACAGCATGCTGTTTCAGATTGAGATAGGATTATTCACATGCTGCAGCGCTTTCTCCCGTTATCACTTTTTTTTTTTTAATGAGACAGCACGTTTTTGGCCTGCCCACGCTTCCTTTTTCCAGAAAATTTTCATCTGTAACAGGAAACGATATTTCGTCTCCTTCTCCCCTTATCTCACCCATGCGCTGGTCGGAGGTCGCTCCGCGTGTACGTACGTCAACGGACCGTGGGTTTCGTGGTTCGCAGTGGTCTCGGTGAATATGCACGTATCGCATCGGCCAAGCTCGCTGAAAATGCTCCGGTCATCTTCACATTGCCTCGTAAGAGAAAGAAGACGACTGAAGGTGGACATCGCGGAACAGAAGCGGCGGCCCAATAAAGCTCCCAGCGTGTTTTTCCTCTCATTGAAACGCCAGAAAATAGAGAACAGTGTCTGCCGGGGGCAGAGAAGTAAGCCGGGCTCGTTCAACACCTCCTAGATAACAAGACTGTAGTGCTGGATTATTGGCGTCATTCTCAAGACCCTAACTCAGGGCACAGTTTGAACACGACTGCTACGTCAGCTTTCGGCCGGGACTGAGGGAAGATAAACGGTGCTTGTTAAGTTTTAATTCCTCCCTAGCGTATCAGAGGAGTAAAATGTGTTCATTTTTTTTTTTGGATTATTTCACGATGCTGAGTTGTTTTGTTCTTACTAGGATATAGCGAAAATATTATATACGTCAATCAATCAATCAATCAATCAATCAATCAACCAATCAATATATATATATGTATTGATTGATTGATTAATTGATAGATTGATATATATGTATATATATATTGTCAGGCTTCGGGTCACCGAGTGGTCTACCAACGTGTGGTGGGGAGCGCCATGGCCCATGACGGGCCGGACTTCCCACACCTTCCGCGAAGCGCACCCGCTCCACCTGAAGGGGGTCCAAACAGGGTGCTACGAAACTCACGACTCCGACAAATCGTGCGGCGCTCCGCTTCCGGCTGCCGGGGGGAAATTTCCCCTTGTCAAATCTACCGAAGGGAAACTTCCCCCCCCCCCGTCAAATCTCCCCCTCGCTACCTCCACGGCGGCCTTGCTCTGCTCATCACGTGGGTCCGGAGAGCCACTCACACGCTCTGTTGGCTATCTGTGAATCGCTCAATGCCTCCGCCGCTTTGCAAGTCCCGAAAACGGGAAATGGAAGACTCGAGTGTGAGGGGGCAAGCCAGGCGAGCGCGCCTCGTGTCCAAGGTCGTGTCACCTTCCAGCAGTTCTTTGGATTGGATCGGATTCCCGCAGCTCTTGTTCCGAACGCCTGGTTGGTTTGGAGTTTAATAAAATAAATGATATATTCTTAAGTCCTCAGTGTTTCTACATACAACTAAAAGTCTCACAGCTATGCACTGCACTTTATTTTTTTTTTTTTTTTCGAGCTACAAACGTGGATCTTGACAAACAGAGCTGAGCCGGGGCGGCCGAAACACGCGCGCTTTGACGCAGGAATTTCCCCATATCCATCCGAAGCCGGACCTCTTCGGTCTTTGGCCTGGTTCACACTTGCGAATCGGCGGGCGAATCTGTAAGAATTCGGCCGCCGGGCGTAGCGTCCACTGTTCATTGCTGCGGCCGATTCCGCGTCGGCGGCAGCGGATTAGCTGTAATGCCTCATTCACACTTGGCGAACCGGCGCCCGGATCCGCGAGAATTCTGACGCCCGGCGACGAAAGCTGGCAGAATTACTGGCGGTGAGCAAGATCGCTCTGGAACCAATTTTGAACGCCGGAAAAAGTTTTCTCTGGCCGCAAGCCAATAAGAAACGCACGGGGGAAGGGGCGCTTGCTGACGTCAGATCGCCGCTGACGAGCTGGTGACGATGGCGACGAGACGTGCGCGGGCAAGGAGGAAGTTCGCGAACTCTCGTCAGCTCTCGTCTGTTCGGTAAACTGCGACACGCTCGCGCCGCGCAGTCCGCAGGCGGCAACAAATGTGAACCGCCCGATCTTTTTTCAGCAAGCGAATCCAGTCGGCGGCGAGTGCATATTTCGCAAGTGTGAACGAGCCATAAGGCCCGCTTCAGACCGGGCAATTTCGCCCAGCAACTTGACGTCGCAACTCTAGCAACACGGGCCGCCCGCGTTCATACGCAGCAACCGACTTGCTCCGACTTGCCATCATCATCATTAAATTTGATTCTTTTTTCACTATTTAGACGCCCAGCTACGCGCTAAAAACGCGTTCTTATATCTTTGAACGGCGTTGAGAATACTAACTAATTTTTCTGAAACTGTTTATTTCCGAAAACGATCCATTCCAAACCAGAACTAAGTCTTTAGCTGTCATCATCACCATTACAGGGGTGTCACGTGAAAATATCGCGTCTCTGATTGGCTGCAGGCGCTTCAACGGTCTTCGAATTGCTCCCAGTTGCTCGCTTGTTCGAGCCGGACCCGATCTCAGCAATTCGCGTCGATCTAGGGAAAGCTAGGGAACAACCCGCCAGCAACCTCAAAATTGCTGGAAAAGTTGCCCCGTCTGAAGCGGGCCTAAGTGTGAACCAGGCCTTCCTGCCGAGGTGATGGCGGTAGCACGGCCGGCGACTTCGTTTGCCTCGGGAGGTAGACAGGCATCAGGCACATCATTGGCAGGTGGCGTGTGACGTCAAGTCTGACGAGCACCGACGTCGACGACAAGTGGAGGAGGCGAGGAGGAAAATCGTGAATTTGGCTAGGCTGGTGTGCAAACAGACATGCGACCGACGACTACCGGACGCTTCAATTTTGACGATTTTTGCAGAAGTCGTGTGGCCTGACGATTTTTGTATCTTGTTTGGACACCCCTTGACTCGGCTCCACCGTCTCCCCGCTTCAACTTGAGGGCGAAGTCATTCTCCGAGGTCGCAAGTTTCCGCAACTAACTGCCACGTGAGACGCAGTCTTTGCCTTGCCCCAGCACCATTTTTCTCAAATTACGCTAAATTTTTGAGAAATGCATTCGACGTGAATTGCATAGCGCCACTCTTCGAGTTTACCTGGAGGCGCGCGTTCCGCCTCTCTCACATCCGCCAGCAATGAATTATCTAAATTTCGAGGACCGCAGGGAATGACAGATTGTGTTCAGCGACGCTTCTCTAAAATTGGTCGGTTTAACCATTATCCATTGCGACAAGACAATCATTTGGTTGAAAGAGCAAGAAAAAGATATTCTAAAATCCAACATTTTCACGCCAAGGGAACTTAAGGATAGACAGGATTTTGAGGTGAAATTACGCAAGAAACTGATTGCCCTGAAGGCAACGAAACTTACGCGAGACAGCGTCACATTTGATCTTGAACTATTTCGAATGAACGCAGAGATCGAATCCGAAATTCTAACAAATGCGGGGGCTTGGCCTGGGCCTGTGGCCCATGTGGTTCATGATGGCACAGACACCGCAAGAGACGAATCTGCAGAATGTGGTAAGCCTCTCCAGAATCCCATTATCCTCCGACTATCTAGCTCTTCTTTCTAGGGGACTAAACTTTTGTCCAACTACCGGACAATACAACGAGTTTCAACTGTTTCGCGACCTGGATCACTTCGCACGCAATTTAAGGCTTCGGGAGTATTTTCATGATAAACCTCCTGACATAACAAATTCAGCCATACCACGTGGCCCTGGTGATTGGACACCAGTCAGCGGGAGGGACAGGTGTTTGGACCTCTACATTAACGCTGTCCAGTGAGAAATTATGCAAACGTTCCAAAAACACAGGTTTAACAGGCTCAATCTGAGCCTTCGAGAACGGAACATTAGAAAATCATTGAGCTCAAGGACCGATGTCGTCATCAAGCCCGCAGATAAAGGGGTTGCGATTGTGATAATGATTCCGACGACTACACAAAGGAGGGCCTCTGCCAACTGAATGACTCTAGCTTTTACGAACACCTTACTTGCGACCCCACTCTGGGCAATACGAAAATCGTAACGGAGTCGCTCGCCACCTTAGCAAGACTGAACAAAATTACACCCAAACTTCAGGCAGCATTAAAACAGACGCAGCCCGCTACTGGCCGTTTCTATATATTACCCAAAACTCACAAAATTGGCAACCCGGGTCGTCCGATTATATCTGGTGTTGGGACGCTAACGGAACCTATCTCGGGTTTTGTAGAAAATCTTATCAAACATATTCCAACTACCTCCTCGTCGTACATCAGGGACACTGGTCATTTCCTCTGTGAGGTTGCACAGATCAATATTCCTGATGGCTCAATTCTTGTAACTTTAGACGTTTCATCCCTATAAACCAACATACCACACGACATGGCACAACGGCACTTTTGGAGGCATACGATAAACACAGACGGCTGCACACACCCGATAATGACGTGGTTGCAACACCCACAAAATTAATCCTCGAGCTAAATGCCTTCTAATTTAACAATAATCACTACCTACAAATAAATAGAACAGCCATGGGCAAAAAATGGCACCGAACTATGCGAACCTTTTTATGGGCACCCTCGAGTTACAGTTTATTGACGCATGGCCCCTCCACACCATTTCCTATAAAAGATTTATTGACGACATTTTTATGGTTTGGACATATTCCGAAGACCAATTGTTGAGCTCCATATAACGCTTCGATGCGGTGCGCACCATCCGACCATTAGGTTTTCACATGAGTACTCACAGACGTCGGTCATCTTCTTGGATGTCAGCATGTACGTGGAGGAAAACAAACTACGAACGAAACTCTATCGAAAGCCTACCGACTCCGAGAAATACCTACACTATCACAGTTCGCACCCGCGTCATTGCAAAAACAGTATCCCGTACAGTCAGGCACATAGATTCCGACGAATCAGTTCCGAACAAGTAGACTTTGAAAAAAATGCTGAAAATCTTCGAGGCGTATTGGTACAACAGAAATACCCGAGAGGTGTCATCGACGACGCGATAGAGCCAGAGCACTTGACCGCAACCAACTGTTGGCGGATCGCCCCGCGCCACGGGACGATAACCGGCCAACTAACCTTGTACTAACGTAAAGCACTAATTTCCCCAACGTCAACAAAATTCTTAGCAAACACTTTAATATAATCGAACAAAGCCAGCGACTAAAAGAAATACTTCCATCAGTTCTCCCCGTGTCACTTACCGACGTTCTAGGTACCTAAAGGACTAGGGAGCCTTCATGTGCGCTTTGCTAGGGTGATGCCACCCTTTGTAATACCACTCGCCGACAAACCAGCAACCATTTTGGTTCTCGGCGATAATCCCGTGGGGCTTATAACCCTCCCGTAAACAAGCACCTTATCTCACAAGTTCGGAGCAGCGTTGTGGAACCCATGGAGGGAGGATTAGCGTTTTCCCCACGGATGGGAGAACCGATGGATACAAAGGCCACTTTCCGGCGCACGGGGAAACAATGAGAGGAACAAAATGGCGGTGAAAGAGGGTGTGGGAAAGGGAAACAGGCAGTTGGCATCACTCTATGCGAAGCGCACATTAAGGCACCCTATAAAGGACCATGCTCGTTAATTCCCGCAACACACGGGCCTCCTCCTCGGGATGCAGACCTTGCGGGAAGCCTGGGTGCAAGGTGTGCACCCACATTGTCACAACCGATACTGCCAGAAGCACGAAATCAAATTTCACCATGAGTATCGACGAGTACCTTACGTGCTGACTCCTGACGTTGTCTACCGCCTTGAGTGTCAGGTGTGTGAGATGCAGTATGTCGGACAAACCATGACAGCCTTCAATAAAAGATTTAACAACCACCGATCCCATTCGACCAAATTACCCAGTCTTCCACAGTCTAAACACTTGTCACAAACTGACCATTCATTTGATAAACTCTCCGTCATTCTGCTTCAATCCGGCTTTAGATCAAACCTAGAACGGGAGCTCAAGGAAGCCCATCTTTATACAAATTTGACGCGGTCAAGTGTGGCATTAATGAGAGCCCAGGGAGACCGAGTTGAGTACAGCTCGTGTGAACGGACAAATTGTCACCCCTTCCAATCCCCCCCCCCCCCCCCCCACCTTCTGCCCCCCTTTCGCTCTTTGTATAGCAGATGTATTGTGAGCAGCGCCTTTTGGCGCTTATGGTCCGGTGTCGGAGTCGGACTGGCACGGGGGCAAATGTGCGGGACTTGCCTGCGGCGGGGCGGGCGAGGTTCGGCCCCAGATGCCTCGCTCGGACGGCCGCGTGCGGCTTCTTGCCCTTGGGGCCCTGCCATCGCAGTTTTGTCGTCGAGGGGAGTTTTTTTTGTAGCTGGGGACACTGTTGTGTTTGTGTTGTTATGTCGTGCGTTCCGTCGTACCTTCTCACGTACAGCTTCCTCCTCTCCCTCTCCGAGTGATAATTTCGGCCAGCATGTAACCCTATTCACTTTTAAGTGACGCTTGAAGAAGGAGGGTCCCCCTCCGACACGTCCGATTAAACTATTCATGTTTGTTTGAACCTCGGCGGCTTTTTCACTTGACCACCTGATGAACAGCCGTCCCCGCTCGAAACGCCGTAAGAAACTTCGTATTAGTAACTCCGTCAGTACGCGTCTTTGACCTTTATATATCTATATATATATATCTATATATATATATATATATATATATATATATATAACTGAGAAGAAAAAACCCTTAGTGGAAACAGCAACAACGGATGATTTATTCTTCGACGTTTCGGTCTGAGTCCGGCCTTCGTCAGGAATATGTATATATATATATATATATTTTTTTTTTTTTAAATCGCACATAGGTATTATATATGCATATCTATATTGTTTTTGAAATATTTGTTGTTTTAGAATTGCGATTAGTTTGCTGTTTTGTGATATTTTCCTACTCTTGCTTTTCAAAACTTTCTTGAAATTTTTACTATCACAGTATTTGATCTGGACTGATAGTATTTCGTACTCAGACAAAAATTAACGACCTAGCATGAGAGCCGTCTTCGTTCAAGGCTGGGGTGTAAATTCTGAAAGATTTGATTTTTAATTTTTTGCAGGAATAGAGCCAAGCCTTGGAATTTTACGCACACACACAGAAAAAAGCTTTATGAGCAAAAAACATCTTTATTTATATTCCCAGCTCCTAGCATGGGCGCCAAGTTTTTCGTCTAATCTTACGAGTCATTGTGTTTAAATGTTCCCATGCGTCAGTACATTTTAATTTAAACAAATACATCTTTCGCAGGTGCCGACGTCTGTCGTGATCGGACATATCGACAAATTAAAAAAAAAAAAAAAGTATACGGAAGTGTACTTTTCGCAAAAGGTTATTCAAATGCTCGACCTTCTCAAAAGCTAAATCCTCCAGATCAAGATTATTAGTCACGTAGATTCTCTGAATCCACCATAACTAGAATAATCTAAGTTTTCGTTCTTAACTAGCCCGCGTGAATTAACATTTGCAGTTCACGAAGTTGACAAAAAAAATTGATATTCAGCCCCAAATACAGTGTTCTGCAGTGCTCGACTCTGACTTTCTCATTTTTCTATTCCTTGTTTCCACTGTCTCTTTTCTTGAATCATATAGAGATGATTCTAATCCCTCCAAAAAAAAAATTATTTGTATTTACGGAACTTTGCGCTCTTATCTTCAGCATATTTTATAAATACTCACAGCTTTCATGAGTGATGTATCTTACCTTGATCAACGGTTGTCTTGGCGATACCACTGTTTACCACGGCGGCATTAACGTCGGACCAGTCATCTGTGTTATTGGTGCTATTTCGGTCGGCATAAAAGGCGAGGAAGGCATCGGTGATGAGATTGACCGTGTTGCACTCTTTGATGCGGCACACTTTATCGCTGGCTTCAAGCTTAACCTTTGTAATGCCGATGTACTCTTTGCTAGCATTCTCAACTACTTCCTTATATGGCTCCAACATGCAAACAATATCTGGGTCTGGGGAAAAAAAAAACGTGTCGTAAAGATGCATAAGACAAAGCCATACCATTTTGAGTTCACAATTGCCTTTAATGTAAAATTATATTATTAGAATCTAAATGCACTTCATTCCTGGTTGTTTTTTAACTAAAAGTTAGCTTAGCATGAAATAGCAACATGCACTTAACTGACGCCGGGCAAGACAAAAATCTGTGTCAGGGAAAAAGAGGGGTTAATAGTGACTACCGCAAATGCTTTTATGATCCGTCCCTCTTGTTCTCCTTCTCCAAGAATTATTTTCGTCATTCTTGTCCAGCTCGCGTGCACGTTTGCATTTCATTGCATTATAATGATACGTATTTGTTTTTTTTTTAATTTTAATTTGGAGGAAAGTATGGAATTAGTAAATTCATTATCATAAGTATATACTATCTGAAGACAATACAACATTTTGAATTTATGACTAAATAATTTACAATAGCTATTGCAGAGATTTGTTTGTAATATTGTTCTGCATCCGGCGTCACTTCCGCCCGATATTGACCCGACTTCTTTCTGGCGCTAAATAGCACCATAAAATATGAGCTTGAATAAAAGTTACGTACAAAATAATGTTTTATAATTATTTATGCTATTTTTAATACTTTGTACGTAAATCGCCTCATTAAATAGATTATTTAACTAGTTAATTTAGCGTATAGCGTGTTCATTTATTAAAAAATATATATGCTAAGTATATTCGACACCTCTAAGGCGCCGTGCGGAACAAGTTATATTCTCTTTTATCGTTACCCGCGTGGCCAGAGCCCAAACACTAGTAAGATATGGTGTGAGCGTCGGCTATAAATAAAAAAATTCGCAAAGAGATATAAATTATCTACCTAGTCACTTCCTATAGCAAATAAAATAATTTAGTTGCTCTACAAGAAAAGGAAACTGAACCCCTGCAACCCGGCTAAACTCCGGAAAGGAGTACCTCCGTTGCGAATGAACCCCTCTGCATCTGATATTTTTTTGTCGCCCTGTCCCTAATTTTATATCGTCCGTGTCTCAGTGTTCAGATTATGATGCTTGCTAACCAGCTCGCCTGCATACTTTCGCTTTGAGTAATTTAAGCTTTTGCCTCCCCAGCCGAAATAAACCTATGAGAGCGAGAATTGTTTCATCTTCTGCCCTGTAGCTTTCGCTTCTTTTCGCGCTAATTTAAAATAGAGTATAAACGGAGGGTCATGCCCCTAGATGATTAGAAAAGCAGCGCACGAGACGTTCTCCTCCTCGTCGCATTTGATGGTGAAAAAATAACACTCATTAGGAGTACCTAGTTGCTCCTATCAACCTATGTACCCCTAATATTTCTAATGGAGTTGAATATGTTTATAGCTTATTTTGTCCGGCTTGCTTGCAGAGTAAGTAGAAAATTTTAACAGTCGTCTTTTCAATTTACAGTTGCTCTTTTTTATGATGTGAAGAACCGTACATTTTTTAGGAATTTAGTTTATGCACGTTGACAGCTGGGAGAATATCCTGCTCTTATGGCTGCTATGCTGCTGGAAACGTGCCAGGGGACACGAGTAAAGATCAGCAGGAAGGTTTCAGAGTTTCTCGTTTACTCATTTTTATTCAGACTGCATTTTACCTGAAGTCAAGGTAAAATTTGCACCACGTCGCCAATCCGTGCCACCACCAGGAAAAACTTAGCGGTAGAACGTCCTGCAAAATTATCGGGACTCTCCTATAGGTTAATAGTGAACGTATTGTCTTTGCGTCGCTGCTAAGTTTGCTTATACATCGTCCAGTTTTTTTTTATTGTGTTTGAGAACATTTGTTATTTTAATTGAGGCACGCAATGGGAAGTGAGAAAATGCCACTGAGAAAATACGGGTTTGGCATGTTTGCAGGCACATCTAGCCAGCCACGCGCGGCGAATAAACATGTAGCAGCGCCAGTCAGAAAGACCTGCAAACCTAAATCTATTACTTCGTTCTAATGTTGCTTGAGAGACTCAAAGGAAAAAAATATTATATACCTGTGATTCGTCTTCAATAGTGAAACAGATAAACGCAGCGTGCGTTTGACAGCCCGCTTCCCGAGAAAGTTTATACTTTTTTTACCCGGTTTTAGTCTTCTGGCGTCATATATTTTGTGGCTGATGTTTAGTTCATTCTAATGTTTGAATACGGCGAGAACGTTCTTCTTTTTGCACAGAGACTACAGTGATGTGACAATGCAGAACTCTGATTGGAGCATACAGTGAACGGATACAAATCCAGGAATTTCTCCGCTCCCTGCACAGATGTAGTGGCTCCACGGCGCCCAGCTCCAGCCTCTTCTGCTAGTCGTGGCAATGGCCGCCTCGTTCGTTCTTCGGTTGTCGGAAATCCACCGGTTGTTGACGAACGAAGACTCGTGTTCGAGTAATGGCAGAGCAAGTAGTTTAAGGCAATGTTGCTTTTGTTGACGAACATGTAACAGACGTGCCACAACGAACAAAGAAATCACGGCCTAGAGGTTGCTTGCTGTGTTTACTGACATCTTAACAGTGGCGTCACTAGGGTCAGCGGCACCCGAGGCGTTGGCCCGCGGCGACACCCCCCCCCCCCCCCCCCCCCCCCCCAAGCTGGTCGCCCGCCGACACATCCCCTTCCCCCCCCCCCCCCCCCACCCCTTCCCCTCGTGGCCCGTTGGGAGACCCCCTGGAACGCTGCACCCGGGGTGGTCCGCAGCCCCCCTCCCCCCCCGCACCCCCTTGTGACGCAATTGCAGCTTAATAAACGCCTGACTATGCTATAATGTTTACACCTATTTTTTCATATTTGGATCTTCGATCATCTTAGCGTCTAATTCCGTGACCTGATTGGCTGTGGAGGGATATTAGGGCATTTGGGACTAGCCACACTCTGCGTTTATTAAGATGTTAGTGAATGTAGGCACCCAATACCTTCGGGATTATTGGCACGCAAAGCTCTCCTCGGAATACGTCATACTTAAATGGGCAGGTTAACACCTCACAAATGTGGGGCGAAACAGCGTATTTTAATGGTCAAGTAACAAAAGTTCTTCACTGCAAAAAAAAAAAAAAAAAAAAAAAAACTTGAACGTTTAAAGTCCCTTGTAGAGCTTGCCGTTTTCTCGTAGAAAAGCTATATGCGATTTTCGACGAAATTCAGTAGGAAAATGACGGCCGACTATGCCGGCAAATACATTGAGTTGAATGACGCCAGCCACTGGGAACAACTTGCTCGTCATATTACACGTGGCTCTCATAGAGACAGCGAAATCCCCCATGAGAGCGCATTCTACAGCATGTAACCTAAAGCTTCTGAGGCAATGGACCTTTTCCACATACCGACGGCACCAGGCGGTGGCTGCACGAACTAAAAATCGAGGAAGTGACCTACCTGCACTACCAGTTGATAATGGGAGCTACGCTACCAGTTTTTTTCGCTCTCTGAGCAGCAGCGCGTGCCCAACGCGACTGTGAAGAGGGCATCCGTGGCGTCCACCTAAACGTCCTGTTTTTCTTTCTGTGTGCTTTCTTTTTTTGTGTAACACAATTATATATAGGCTGAAATTAAGTGTTCGACTCCCTGATCCACAACCTCCTTCCGAATTTCCTCGATTTTTAGTGCCGACTTCCGCCGCTTGGCATCGGGCGCTTGCGCGTGCGCGGAACGCTTCTTGGAAAAGGACCATTTAGACGGCCCGTAAAACCGTTTTTTCAGCGTATCGCGCTGTAATTTACTACAGAGGTACAAGCAGGTGGTGAAAATCTACAGTGAAAATATCAAGAAACAAATTTACCTCGTTCCAAAAAAACAAAAAAACAAGAAACAACAAACACTGTTCTGGGTAATTTACGCCGCCACCTTGTAGACGATGCGCGCGTAGAGAGAAGTGCTACCGACAGATGGCGTACGGCGCGTCGAGGGAGTGCCGGCCGATTCGGGATGATATCAGACGACCTTGCAAAAGAACCTGAGTCTCACTCGACGTGGCGTTCGCCATCTGTTGGCAGCACTTCTTGCTACGCGTGCATTGTCTGCAAAGACGTGGCGTAGATTGGCCAGAACAGGTTTTTGCACGTTTTCTTTAAAACGTTGTAAGTTCATTCCTTGATTTCTTCACTGTATGCTTCAACCAGCCTTGTGCACCACTGTAGTAAACTACAGCGCAATTAGTTGAAAAATCGGGGTCTTCGCGCCGTCTAAAGTGCCTCAGAAGCGTAAGCTTATACCCGAGCCACACGAGCAACTCGAATGTCATTTACAACGAATGATATTTGAGCGGACGGCCAATCAGCGCGCGACACTGCGGGCGTAGCGCATTCCACGCGCGACAGATTGCGAGCTGATTCGCCGATCACACAAATGTCATTCGTTGTAAATGGCATTCGAGTGGCACGGGGATTACATGCTGTATAGCTCTCGCTTGATTGGAAGATACAACCATCAAGTTTCTAAGTTCGTTCACGCCGAAAAAAGAATTCAAGAAAGAAACATTGAGGGCGATGGAACGCTCTGAATTTTCGACAGATTGTGATGAGTCGCAGGTGGAGAGACGAGTTGGTTGTAGCAAGGGACCTAAAGTAGTTCGTATTCAATTCCGCAAATTGAGGATGCCTCACTTTTGTCTCCTAGCTCCCAAGCCGTGCAAAGCATGCCTTCCAATTCGATGGCAAGCGGTCAATGGAAGGGCTTTCGTCTCGGCGTACCTGTTAAGATAGTCGGTGGTTACAATTATCCAGTGCTTTCCAGACGTCAACATAGATTCATTCTAATCCTCTGTAACGATGCTGTCGGGGGAAAAACCGGCTGCAAGAAACCTGCCGGCTTTGTCGGCGGTTTTCCGCAACGCTGACATTCGTGGCACGATCGTGTGCAAGGGTGAATGGTCTTCTAGAGCTTGGGCCAGTAATACCTCTCACAAATTCAGGCCAACGTACGGATATAAACAAGGTGTTCGGACGTCGGGTCGTGGCGAAACGCTTGGAAGATCTCCTCTCTAAGGTCGGTAGGGGT